GACCATTTGAAAAACTTAATGTTGTTTAATATTATCATTCAGCCTCTTTCTCTCTCTCTTTCAACCTCCCTCTCTCTCTCTGTCTCAGAAATGCATGTCTATAGATGCCAGAATAAGAGGACACTAACTGAAAATTACACCTATTTTGAAGTGCAAATTGGGTATACTTTAACTTTCAGACAGTTACATTAGAAGCATCCAATTTCTTTAGGTCTCTAATATCTCTGCCTTGAATATGTATTTTAAGAGTCTCTGCATGTAACTACAGCATGAAGTATTAGTAGAAAAACCTGCTTTTAGGTCTTTTTAAAAGTAGCTATAAGCTTCTCGTAGCTGTTACTCAAATAAGTTCTACCGGCATATGTAAGCCAGTATGATGATAATACTCTTTGGAGATTAGTAAGGCTTATGACATGATTTTAATTTTGTGAAATTTCAAAGAATAAATTTTTAAAAATTAGTAAATCTTTTGGACTTAGAAGAGTGAGAACTGGGGCACTTCATTGTGAAGTATATGACAGGTTCTGAGCATTAAAATCCAAATAGGGATTATTGTCTAATTATATCTAGTTTTTGAGCATGCAGACCTTTTTTTTCTATTTAATATTTATATACATATATATTTTATCATTGGTCCTTCAGATGTTCTTAGAGCAGGGGATTATGTGGAGTGTGTTTATAAAGATTACTATAATTCTGTCTTCTAGATTAACAAGAAGAAATTGTATCTCACTTTCATTTTAGCCATGAGAGACAACTAGTTTATGAATAATTTTGGATAAAACATAAATGGAAATTATATAAACATCCATGCTAAATACAATATCAAATAGCTATGTAACATATTGGTATTTAGTTTTATATTACATTTCCTCTCTTATTACAAAAGTACATTGTGAAGAATTTGCAAGACTTTATATTTATAGAATATTTCATATGTGTATGACTCCTTGGCAGATATTTGACACACAAAGATAAAGAAGACATCTTCCTTACGACTGACAAGTTTATAATTAGTGCTAGAGATACACATATCCATAATAGGCAGTACTGAAAAGAGATGTGTGCAATGTAATAAGTAGTCACAGAAAAAGTTGTGAAAGACATCTTCCTTACGACTGACAAGTTTATAATTAGTGCTAGAGATACACATATCCATAATACGCAGTACTGAAAAGAGATGTGTGCAATGTAATAAGTAGTCACAGAAAAAGTTGTGAATAATGCTTGAGTGACAAGAATGTCTTCAAGAGGGAGTGAAATTTGATCTGGGTATTAAAGAATGAGTAAGCATTATTTACATTCTTTAAGAGGAGAAATATACTCTAAGCAGCAGGACCAACATATAAAATAACCCAGAGCTATAAGAAGAACATAGACTATTCAGAAAAATTTAAGAGTTTTGAATGACTTAAGTGACTAGAGAATGTGTAATTTTGGATGTTCCCCCTAAGCACTCCCACATCACTTAAGTAAGCGATGCTGTTATAAAGAATGATTCTTTACCAAAATAAAAGGTAATAAACAGGTTGTAGTGCCACTTAGAATGCAGAAAAAATTTACTATGCAGAAGTTCAGTGAGCTTAGCATAACTAAATGAAGTATTCTTTAATGTGGCCCTAGGAGCTACAATAGTATTTATTAACCCACCAGAGATGTCCTGGACACTGGTGAGTTCAAGGGCAACTGAATTGAATATCACGTAAGTAATGCTCAACAGCCTGAAGGAAAAATGTTATAAGCTTGAACTCTGGAGTCAGACAGACACGGACAAGTGACCTAATTTCTCTAAGCATCTATTTCCTCTTCTTTAGAATAGGATAATAATAGCACCTAACACAGAGTTGTGAAGATTAGATATGATCTGACATGCAAAGGTTTTAGCCAGTGCTTAGCGTATGGCAAGTCCTCAGTGAATGTTAATGAATATTATTATTAACATGAGTCGATTTCAGCATTTGTTAAAACTTCCAAACTAAGTAAAGATGTCTGTATCACCATTGATCCAGATGTTTGTTTTAAACAGCATATTATTTAGTTATTGAGGGAGTAATACGTACTTAAGTTCCTTCATAGATAATTTCCCTAAGAGTAGCTCACAGCTTCTCATGCAGATGAGAAGGGGTGAGGATACAGATATATAAACAAGTAATTAACAATATTCTAATTTAAGTACTATGGCTATTATGTTAAAAATATTTATGTCAGAAGAAGATGCAACCATGCCTTAGGGATATGGAACTACCAACTTTACCATAAGGGTTTAGAACACATGAAGAACTAGATAAACTGTAGAAGATTGAGCATACGAATGGCAATTACAACCAATGGCAGTCTCCATTATTCATGGTCACTTATTTATGCACCCACTTAGTTGCAAGGTAGAATTTAAACAATTAGCTAAGACTAACAGTAATTTTGACATCACCCATCAAATATGTTTACCAATTCCATGGACTGGCAGAAATGAGAAATATCCAAGTGATTTGCAATTACTCAGAAATCATTCACTGTTAAAAGAACATGTATATTGAATATTAATGGGAAAAGTAACTCAAAACATATTTTATATAAATGACTTCCATATATATTTCCATGATCAAATATTACAGTATCAAAACTGGATTTGAACTTTTGGCTTACGGTAATTTCCTTACAAATATTTTATGTTATAGAATTGATAATGCTCAATATAAAACCCTGCCATACCTTAATTCCTATTTGGACTATGTGCTTCTTCCATCAAAATCTCTCTTCTTCCTGCCACACATTTGCCATTTTCAGGAAACTTTTAAAATTTTAATCTTCAGAAATAAAATTTCTGTGGCCTTAAATCATCTTTTGGAAAAAAATCAGAAACTTCTTTGAACTATTTTTCATACCATTATGAAGAAAACAGATGTACCAGATGAAATTAGAAATCAAAAACTCTGGATATATGTAAATAATATATTTGAAGGTTTTACTATGGCTTCGTAAATAAGCAATTAATATGTCTTACCTTAAAGACTACACTAGATGAAATTAGAAATCAAAAACTCTGGATATATGTAAATAATATATTTGAAGGTTTTACTACGGCTTCGTAAATAAGCAATTAATATATCTTACCTTAAAGACTACACGATGGATTAAATGTGGTTCAACCAGAAATAAATCAGAAAAAGTCAAATATAGGGACAAGGCTATCAGCTTTGTACTTATATTAAGGGAAAAAATTAAAACTATAATTTTTCATGGCATATCAATCATGTCTGGATGGCTTTGCAAGAACATAAAATCCAGAAAGAAAAAGAAAAATAATTGTGGCATTCTCCTGTTGTGATGCTCAGAGCAGAGCAAACAAAGGCTTGTCAGAGATACTATTTTTTTTTTTCCAATTATGCAGTTTAAGCCAAGTAGACAAGGTAAAATGTTAGGATTCTTTGCATCTTGGAAAGTTTATTCCTTTGGGTCTCCCTGCTTTTTTCCTTATTAAGTTTAATAGAGTTAAGTTCAAGATTGAAGCTAATAAGTTTCATTTATCCTGAATCTTACCCAAGAATTAAATACACAGAGAATAATTCATCCTCAGATAAATGTGATTAAAGAATTTATATAATGTATTGATATCTGCTGCATCAAATTTTACATTTATAACATTAGTTAAAAATACACTCAGATTGTTTTTATTCTTTTGTAAAGACAGTTTTAGATTCATTACTTAGTGGGTAACATAATCCTGATTTTTAAAACACTACCCTAAATTTATTGAGGAATGATTATTCCATTTCCATATTGTTTGACAAGCTTAATAATTCGTATTCTTCTAAAGTTCAATATAATGAGAATATAAATGCTTAATTCTTGGTAAATAGAAAACAGTTTGGGACAGTTTCTAAGATTTTCAGTTTAGCAAAAGAAAGATGGGAAGATAATTTAAACTACAATATAGCCAGTTTTCATCCATTTCTTATATGACTTGAATGAGTCTTTTAGAAACATTCCAATGTATTAATGTGTTTTAAAATCTATATTTTAAAACACATTAATACATTATTAACATAATGAAACATAATTAACTTTAACTTTTAACTGTTAACTATAAAATCCATATTAAAAAATCCATAGTTTATTTATTATTTATTTATTTATTTATTATTTAGTTCACTTTATATTACTGTTCTCTTCAACCAGAACTCCTAGACCTTTTTCAACATCCATAATTTACAGGTGATACTTTAGAAAGTGAGAATAAAACTTTAAGATTATTTCTGTTAAATATTGAACTCGTCTATTAAGACCTTTGTTGATATCTGTATTCCACATATCAGCTATCCTAACTGTTTTCATGGCTTCAAGACATTTGTTTCTTTTGCATCTATTTTAGCCATTCATAAAAAAAAAAAACTATTCCCAAAGTCAAATCATCAAACATTTTCTTCCAAGTAGCTTTTGTTTGATTATGAATCAGCATTAATTCTATGCATTTTGTAACCAATTGTATATTTGTTTAGTACTGCTGGTACTTGGTAGTCAGTCTGTTATAGCTAGATACCATGAAAGATTGTATGCAAATGTTTTTGATATCAAATGTTCATTTATGTATGTATTACTACTTTTCAGAGAGTTTGAGCATAGTGAAACATAATAAATGTTAAAACCTCACTAGGATATTATTCTTGCTTATTTAAGATGTATTTCAAGAGTTAAGTAAACCCAGTCACCTGAATATACATGTTATCATAGCACAGTACTAAAATATGATTGAGATTTTAAAAAAATTTGTACATTCTAGGCTAATAAGACACTACTTTTTTTTTTCTTTTCTTCTTTGCTAACTAAAAATAATGTTACAACTCCAATTTTAAAATGTTTATGTATCTGGATTTTCATCTATTTCATATATTTAACCTGTATTCCAAGTTAAATCTCTAATAGACAGAAAAATATCATTTATTAAAATACACTGTCAATGAATTAACAAAATTAAAGTTTTTAGAAATATAATTATATATTCACTTTGCAAATGCTGTTACATTGCCATGGACAAATATATGTTAATTTATAATAAACTGAATTGGATCTTAAGTTAAAGCTATAAAGTTTGTTGATTTTTTTAAAGAAAATTAAACTGCTATGGTTATTCATTTTAATTTACACAATTTCGTTCTTTGAATTTTTTACTTTTGACAAATTTAATATAGGTTATTGATCTAAACATATAACCACAAAAATAATTTAAGAAGTTCTAAGGAAGCAAGAATTAAAGAAACACTTCTCTGTGTTTCACTTACGTATGAAACATTATTTTCAAACTAAAATGTCCAGTTTGGGGTTCTACAAAATATAATGGTTTAGGCTTTGGTATCATGAAGCTAGGTGCGAATTTTAAAATAATTAAGTACTTTGCAATCCCTCAAAAACAATGTAGACATCTAACTAATAAAATCATAGGAGCAATGGACATTTCTCAAGTTTGAAGAATCCTTTGCTTTCAAGCAAACCGTTTTTGAAGTTAGTTACTAAATGCCAAATACAAATTCACTTATTATTTTAAAGAAGAAGAAGGGAAGGGGGTTATTTTGCCTAATTTTCATGATTAATTAGTGACTATTTTTCAGATGGCTTCATAATGGACTTTTGAACTTTGTCTCTACTTACTATGAATCAGAATTCAGAAAAAGACAGCTCAATCTCCAGTCCCATCAGATGTTCAATCAGAACTACCAAAAGGATTTGATTGCAAGAAAATCCCTTGATATAGTAACACGATGAGATGACAATGTATTCATAGTATTTCTGCCAGGTTTATTATTCTGAGCACTTAGGGCTATACATACTTTAATAATTTGCCAAATCGACTGTCTCTGATGATGTTAATGATGGATTCAGCACAGTTTAACGTGTATGGGCTGTACATTACTGCACATATTTTGATTTTTCTTCTAGGTAAGGGAGCGACTGAGGGTTTCTTTAGAAAGAGTCTCTGCACTGGAAGAAGAACTAGCTGCTGCTAATCAGGAGGTAACATACCACCCTTTATCCTCTTTTGAGGTGCAATATCGCTAACATTATATCCCTTGTGTTTCACATCACAAAAAATAAATTACATTCTGTATATGCCCCTAAAAATGGCCTGTTGAAACTAGTCATCAGAGTCTTGTTTTCTGATTTCTGTTTACTCAGATTTGTCAGTAGGAGACCAGAGAAAAATTATTAAGATCTAGTAACATGTGAACTAGTGAGATGGAGATTTGGAAAGATTACTGTCAGAATGCCCGTCCTGTCAAGGAAACAGCTCCCAAACTGGAAAATATGTCAAATATGAGAAGGTGTTACAGATAAAGTTAGGTCTCTGGAGATATATATGTATATATTTTTCTGTAGGTCCTGCATATTTTTATCTTCCAAAAGCATTGTGTCCATGTTTGGTGACATCGTTGAATCCTCTTCTTCTGCTGCATTCACAACTCTAAGACAGTGTATTAAATCGTCTCTTTAAGATTTAAAAAGTTGTTTTCTCTTTAGAAGATTTTACTTCTTTTGGTT